ATTGTGCCATAAATCATCATTACATTCTGGAAAGGTCTGTCCTTCGTCTGTTCGTTATATTCGGTAGCAAACATGAAGGTCAGCTTTAGCTTTCTAATACAGGATTCATTTCCCAAGCTAAGCTGAGGAATGGTGAGTCTTATAAGGCACTTTTCTTTTATCTACTTAGGTTTCTGACCTTCACGTCTCAGTACGGCTATCTCCCCCGGTGATATTGTTTGCCATGTCGGCTGTGCTGTGGAGACACTATGCAAACTTATATAGCTAACCTGTTCACCCCAACACTGGCTGTCAGCGCGTGTCAATGATCACCTAGCTGGTAAGGCTCAGACGCAGGTATGCACTGGCCATCCGGCAGCTGTCAGTGTCACACAAAGCCATCAATCCACATCTCTGCCACTGTCATTGCTGACAGGGCATCGCCGGCCACAGACAGCTGCATAGAAATATGCCAATTTAGCTTAGCATGCCCAACTAATAGACACTTGAATTAAAGTACTGCAAAAGTTATTCGCAATTTCTGTCAGGGAAATGGAGGCAATACTAACTATACATTAAAAACAAGTGATCCATCAGCCAATTACAAAAGGTGAACAATATATTTTGCGTATGTGGGGTCTTCAATGCGTATTATCTGACCAATGCTACATGTGAATCTTCTTGATTCAACATGTCCAAGTGTGGCTATATATACATAACATTGATCGTACTGACACTGCAGTCAAAGCCTACACTAACTTGGTTTGCATGTATTTAGTAAAGTCAATGCCTTTTTCTTTTATAGGGGAGCCCACTTTTATTTATGTAAACAAACACTTGCTCATCTTGTGTGAAAGGTTGACAAGGAGGATGCATAAATAGAAGCTGCAGGCCCATCATTGTCAACATGCCAACCGCTCTCTGCAGAGAATCACAGAGACATGGAGACCTCCTTCTAGCAGGCCTGGCTGAACGGGAAATATGCCCAGACGACAATCACTTGCTCAAAAAAGTTTTTTGGAGAAGGAAGGAGGATGCAACTGTAACTGAAACAAATTGTTTAAATCAAAATAAAACCGAATCTATTGATTCAGTTAAAATGACAAGGAACCATTCGCTGCCAGCTGGTTCTTAAATTATTTGACATTTTGTTAAATATTGTTGACTTTCTTGCTTTGCAAAGTTTAACATAATAAGACCTACATTTTTAACGGAGTGATTGAGTGTGAGGTACACACAGCTTCCAGCTGTTGCGTAAACAAAGACAATCACATTTATGATGATGATATTGTGTTCAATAGTTTTGTAATTTTAACATAAACACTTTGACAGAACCTATTCTTCCACTATAATATTCTCAGAGAACAACCTAATGAACGGTTCTGCATTCTGCTGCTGTCTGCAAGCTGTTGCAAAAATGGATTGACGCAGCTGAGTGGGCTCCAAGTTATATAGAAAACATATATAATACTATGCGGGTCAAACTTAATCATAAAGCAACATCTGTTTTAGGGTGTTAATGGATAATTGTATTTATATTTACATAGTTTGTTCCAAAAGTGTTTTTTCCAATCAAGTAAGTGAGAACATAAATGTTGTTAAGAAAAACTATTTCTTCTAATATTACATGAGAGCAGTTTGATTACCATTAATGCATGCAGTGAAGTAAGATAGCGGACATTTGGGGCAACCATAAAGGGTGTTGTAAAACGTGCAGGCTGCTGTACAACCAATATGCTTTTACTCTTGATATTCCTCAGGTTGGCTATAACAATGTTTTGTAGAGGTTCATATGGTGGAGGCTCTAACACCTGCTGCTACAACTATTGACTTACTGAAAACCATACTGTATGAAGTATGTCTAAGAAAAGAACATGTTAAACACAAAGTTATACAATATTCCTCTTTGGTACCTGGGGGAAATGCCTGGCCTGAATAACATGTTGAAATAACTTTTTTTTGTCCTGGTTGTTTGTTTATTTCTATGTGCCTTATGCCAAGCTGCATTGAGCTCAAAGCATGTGGGCTTTCCGGCTCTGTTCTAAGCTTAGTGGATTTGACTGGGATACACAGTTGACATGTGGGGGCAGACACTTGCCCCAGACGGGAGCACTGACCCCCTTGATGCCAGCAGAGCAGGCGGCCAGGGGGCCTGCATCTCCTCGCCTTGGAGAAAAAAAAGTCCAGATGCTAGACCATGCTCCGGCTTTTGACACACTGTGCATGCTGCTTGTGACATTATTTCATATGCCGCAGTCAAATAATAACATTACTTTGGGTTTATTCTACAATGTTTAACAATGATTTCCAGTGAAGTAAAGTGATTGCGTAAATGTGGAACATCTGGTCAGTTCAAGAGAATATGGGAATCCACTTAGAGAAAATTAAAACAAATGGGGTGACCGGGTAATGATTTCATAAGCTATTTCCTACATTAGGATTTCTAATACTTCACAAGGAAAACACGTTTAGCTCGGCACTTGTCTCATCTATCAATCATGCTTGTTGAAGAGGAGCATAATATACCCTCTGCAATGCACTTGCAGAGGGTATATTATCACGTTTTATCAACTGGGAAATGGCAGGAAAGAAATATGAAAACAAAAAAATCTGTTTCCTAAAAGCATTTGTCTGCTTCCCCTCCCCCAATCTGGTGCCATCCTGACAGAAACTAAATGAATTAAACTTTCATTAAATATGCATTTCTTTGTTAATCATTTTCAAGCGAAGAGGATTAGGTCGCAATTTGTGAAATGACATAAAATCTATCCCTTCTCAAAAATAGCCTCTTGAAATTGCATTAAACACAATAGTATTATCCATCAAACAGTATTTAAAGCTCTTTAAAGCATTAAAATAAGTAAATCAGTAAATCCATTAAAGAGATATTGACCTGTAAATACTTCTCTTAATACAATGGCCATATGTTTACTCCATCTGTTAATGCAAATGGGTTTGTAAACATAAAGAATGTGCTATATTCAGGTCAGCAGACATACTTATCTATGCGTGTGTCTGTCTGCCTGTCTGTCTGAAGACTCAAAGTAATGAACACAGGAGGTATATGAGACTGGAGGTATATGAGAGTGGAGATTTATTTCAGTGCATGAATTAGCTTTTCAACCTTACAAATGCAAAATTAATGTGGAAATGTTTGGCCATGATTAAATAATGGTAAGATGAATTAAAAAAGCCTCTTTGTGCCGAACACTACCTTATTTTCATCAACCTTCACAGAAAACACGGCTGATGCTCGGCATGAAATATTGACGTGAAAGGGCTCCTCAAATAACCAACTCAAAATATCTGAAGCACACATTGAATATTAGAACAGAATGGGAGAAAAGAGCCAAGACTCTCAAGCCAAGGCTGTCAACTGGAGAGGAGTAGAGGCAGAGAAAAGAAAAATGTGCAACAAGAAAACACTGCATATCGTGCTATATGTGTTCCTACCAAACAGCTTGAAGAGAAATTGAGAGAGAACACAAGAGCTGCTGTAACCTTCAACCTACTTCTGGCTCAGATTCCCATTCACATAATCCATTTCAAAAGCTTGATTGTCCTTTCTCTGATTGCTTTGCACATGAAAACGAGTTAGTACACATAAAATGATATATTCAAGGTTTAATGAAAATGTGTAGTCAGTGCAGGTAAGAACCTTGGAAGGGGGAAAAAGCAGCCTCGGTTTAGCATATATTGAATTTCAATGAAAAAAAGTATGTTTCATAACTGCCAAGGTCATTGTGTTTGCGACAGTCCAACGAGCTAGGTGTTGGTGTGGAGGACAATCCCCACTATCTCCAAGGCTGCAGGCAATGTTGCTCATGTCATCCTCATGTTTTATTCATGAAAGTCATATTATGGCATTCAGAAACTGAGATCAAGATCTGCTCTGGCAGAAATATTTAATATCATACCTACTTCTCTACCCTTCTCCATCTGGTTAGCCAGCATGAGAGAGAGGGGTAGACAGATTCCTCCAGCTCAGCCATGTTGGATTATTAAAAGTGAAGCTTTCAAAGAGGTCACTGCTCAGGAAAAAAAAAAAAGGTCTAGCATGCATCAATTATCTTGGAGAGTTTGTGGCATACTGAAGACTGTCTTGTCATATTTCCCAATGTGGCTGAGCTACGGGGAGGTTCTTGGCTGCCGCTCACATTTAGAAGCTGGTGAATTGTGGAAATCTCAGTCTGTTTGTCAGAAAATGGACAAAAGACCACACTGACTACTTGCAAAGCCCCTTCAGGCTTGACATTCCTTCTCAATGTCATTGGCATAACCAGACACAGGCCTCCAGCTCTGTCGCCCTAATTTTTCATGTCGGAACAACTGCAACTTACACTGATCAATAAACAGTTTTACTGGCAGTGCTGAAGGACAATAGAGTAATTCAAATGATTCACAACCATAAATATAACACGCTGCCCGCAAATAGTCACATACTGGAGGAATGATCTTTTTTTCTGTCGTGTTGCTTGTACATGACCAGTGATAAATAACAACAGGATGATGGTGTTGGAAATCTAGAGCCATTTAGAGCCTCTGTTAGAAGTCAACCACAGCTTCCCGTCTTCATGTGGGACCTACATATTGCGTGCCACAATTGCAAATTCTATAAGGGTCCAAAGTCTTTGTAATTATAAATGTATACCCTTCGAAACTGTTACTAATACTGAATTAGAACACTCTTTCTTTACATGTGTAATGTGCATCTTACTGCAGAGAATAATGTGTTCTTTCTATGTGACCAAATGTACCATGGAAAAAAACAAGCTAAAAGTAGCATCCATCTATTGTTTGTAAGCATTGTATCGGCTATGGGAGTAAGTATAAGACATCTTCACAGCTGCAAAAGATGACTCCCCCCACTCCTACACATTATTCTCTTCCTTCAGAGTTCACATCTGTGTGAAGCACAATTCCATGAAACCCCCTCTTCTATCCTCCTGTTCTCCTCGTCCTAACTCCCCACCTGCCTCCCTGTCTCTGCCTCTGTGGTGGCGCGGGGAGAAGTGGCATACCTTTGTTCATGTCAATCAGCTGCTTCTTCTTGTGCTGGCGCTCCTGCTTCTCCCGCTCTGCTTTCTCCTTCGCCAGCTTGGCTCTCTTGATCTTCTCCTCCATCTCCTTCTTCTTGTGGTTCTCCTTCATTGCTTCCTGGTAACACACACACACACAGATACACAGCCATATATATCAGCTTCTTGCCTCTGCTACCATCAGTTTGTTGGTGTTTTTGTTGCTGTCTAGTGTTCAAACCAGCAGCATCTCATCAGCAGTATTTATTTTTTCTTTCTAGTCTGAGATAAGCTTCTGGAATAAACAACGTGTCTGGGCTTTTTAATACGAGTGTATTTGTCTGCAAGCCTTGTGCACTACTTTACATATTTCCAATCACTCACAGGGCATTTTTTTGTTGTCAATAAAACATCAAAATACGCTTCTAAAAAAAGCAAGATGATAATCACACATATGTAGCATGCTGGAATGGGATGCATGGGATATTTCCTTTGACAATATTGAGGAGCCGTGGCACAAGAAAAGAAAAGTGCAGCAGCAATGTGTCAGTCTCTGAGGATGGAGACAGAGATATCACCCTCCTCCTCCTCTTCCTCCTTCGTGACCGGCCAAAATGTCAGGAAGGAGTCAGAGAAAGAGAGATAATCAACGGTACGGATTCAGCCTTTACAAATGTGTCAGTTTGTTTTTGTGCCAACAGAGAGTAAGATGGTACCATGTGACCTTTGCGGACAAGAAAATGTTCTCTCATCCCAGGCGTCTAGCAGAGCATCTGACAGGACCCATCATAGGTACTGGTGTTTGTGTGTAAACGTGTCATACTGTATCCGTATGCATGCAAATCCACTGTGTGCCTATCCTGTCCATTGGTATCTCAGTGATTCTGCTCATCTGTGGTGCTCCATCTAATGTATGCATATGTGTAAGTGTGTGTGTCAGTAAGTGAAGGCATGGCCCTGTCGTTGCACTGATATAATAAGTGGCGACAGTACGCCCCCCCCATCTAATGCCCCTGTGGTCCTGATGTGTGTGTCGTGTTGGCAGCTAAGACAGAGGGATTACAGGGATTGTGGGGAAGGAACAAGGAAAGAGCAGCTCATGATGCCAGTCAATAGCAGAGCTTTGCTCCATGTCCAAGGACACGAGCCCTCATTATCACTGTCTCCTTGTTGGATGACAAGGGCAATGACAGAGAGAGGGAAAGAGAGGGCAGTATTATAAGAGAGTGAGTGTGCTTTTGTATTATGTGCATTATACAAGAATAAGATATGTTTTGCTTTGTCAGCTGCTTCCAAGTCGATGAACACTCAAAAATCAACCTACATTTCATCACTTCATCGAGGCTGTGTAAATGATACAGTCACGCTCTATAAGGGCTATTGACTGAGTGCACTTTGCTGCTGTTTTGAATTAGAGAGGATGATGGAGAGATGTGCTGCATATTCAGTAATGCAACAGTTAACAAGTGCATTCTGTTTAAGTGATGGGCAGCACTGCCAGCACAAATCCAATTGATTTCTGTCTTCATTCGCTGACAGGACAATTCATTTTTGAAGAAATATCACAGCATAAATCAACATGTACAGCATAAATTGGCAGATAAATTATGCAGATTACAAATAAAATCCTGCCGGCAAAACTTATTTTAAACAAACAACTAATTCTGACTGTAAACATGATTATGCAACGCAATTATGTTGCTCTAATCACACAGCACCACTAATTGCCATAGTAACAAATATGTTTTCACAGATTTCTTCCCTCCACCATTCTCTTTGACGGCCTCCATTTTGCCGCCGGCAACAACTGATTCTATCAGGTCTCATTTTCTTGCCGACTCTGTATATTGTAGGAGGATAAACAATGCTCATGGGATGTGTGAGAACACTCTTCAGCGCAGGGAACCTGTTTTACACCACATCGGAATGAAGTAAACAAATATGGTTCGTCTCAAATCTGTTCAAATATTCTACATGAATGTTGACAAATATATTTAGAAAAAAATCCATGCAATTTGATTTTGTCTTGGTGTGCTTTTATCTACTCAAGATCAAAGAACCTTACTTACAATATGATTTCAGGTGACCATAGAAACAAGTTATTTTTAGCTTTAACAATGAGTCATCCGTCCCCCTTTGAAGATAATCACTACAGTTATAGTGCCAACCAATAAGAGCATCATATTTTACAACACAATCATCCCACTGATACCTGGGTCTAAATAATATTTAGATTCTCAAATCTGAGTGTGGAGGTTAATTTATTATTAAACATGAGGATCACTGACTAGCTATCTATATCATTTTTTCATTTTTCTCAATTGTTAATAAAAAGAAAAACAATGCATACTGGCAAATAAAGTCATATGTTAAGAAAAGGAGAAAAATAATGCCAGTATAAAAAAAAAAGGAAAAAAAAGAGAAACATTCCTTGGTGTGTGTGAGCAAAACCTCCATTAACGCTGATAGCTCTGTAAGCACTGTATCTGTGGCCATTTCTTTATAGCCACTTCAATATTCGCTTGTGGCTCTGAATATCGTGTGTAGCTCCTTTAACACCAGGTGGGGTTGTCAACAACACTATAGAGAGCAGCACTTTCAGCCTATATGAGCCGGAAAACCTGTCCATCTTATACACACCAGAGGCTACATACACTCTCTTCCTCTTAGGGCCTCTGGTGTGTTTCAGATGCACATTATGAATGCTGCTCTGTCTATAACTGGCGTGAAAACTGAATGGTGTGCAACCCACAGGTCCAATCTACCAGCAAGGGCCACGAAGCATTTTCCCTTTGCAGGTCTGTTCTTTCAATAATTCACGAAATGTGTTTTTTGTTCTTCCTTGACCCTGCACAACACAATACATCTCCCACAGCATGGCTCCCCTTCATGCATACAAGTTTTCCAGTCTAATGATGGAGCAATGAGTATTTCCAACTGCTCAGTTGCACCAGTGATCTCACACAGAGAGTGTCACTGCTATATCTCATTTGAATTTTACAAACACTACAGCGCCGGGCTTTAGGCAGCAAATGTGTTTATTAGCCATCTGTTACACTGTGTGCCAGGATGTGAGGGGAAATGGCTTCAAGAAGTTATAGGTTACAGATTGTGAGACTTCTGCTCTGCGGTATAGATGTATTCCCATATTGATAGCCGACCTCCAAAATCTGCTGCAATGATTTGTGAGTGCTTGTATAGTTAAAAAGAAAAGAGGACAACTGACAGTGATTCAGCAAGAAGGTGGGCCGAGTGGCTCTGCTGGAGCATCATCTTCAGCATGATTATGATAATTGGTCATATTGTGAAGGAATTAGCAAGCTTTAGAAATATGAAATGGGCTCCGAAGTGGACGGATACACCCGCACACAGAAACAAATTATCATTCTAATCTCATAGATGCTCTATCTTGCTTCTTTGGGAACCCGGTCTGGGTCTTTTTGGTCTTATTCGAAAGTCACTCAATTAACAAGGAAGAATGTTAGCTCATCCCAGTCCATCTGCTGTGCTTTGATAACTCATTAATGGAAAAAAATCCTCATCCCCCCCTGCTCCTGGTCAGGATTACACATACAGACCCTACGATTGCATTTCACTCATACTCTATTTCAGAATATGGCAGCAGCATTAAATTAGCAAATTGTTGGACTCTTCCAATACTGACTCCATGTGCTGAAATCAAATAATATTTCATTGGTCGCAGAAAAAAAAGAGAATTGGACAGGATTGAGGGAGAGTAAGAGAATGAAACAGAAGGAAAGTAGAGTTAATGGATTCTCTTATCAGTTACATTCAGTTCTGTGAGGACTGTCTGTCAATGCGTTTACTCAAATGCCTCATGTCGGTCGGGTGCATTAAGCCTTAGCTTTTTAGTAAAAGCAATTTAGGGTGACTGTATTGCAATGGAATTCTTTAATACTGCAGATGCTTTGTGCTGTGAATGCATTTCACAGGGCAATGCAACAAAGACCGAAGTTAGCAAATATGTTCTGTCTGAGTCAAACAACTCAATGTCTCAATATTGAAATGAAAGTCAGAGGCACGCCAGGCATATCAAGAAGTTAAATTCAGTGCTCTTCAATTATTAGCTGCCAAGAAGTCAAAGTGTTCATTAGATGTGCCATTTGCAACACATCAGTACTGATTGATGTAGGTCGACTTTGTCAAAGATAAATAACTAGCAGACATATCCCTAAAATCCCTTTGCTGACAAGAAAAGCAGGAGAATGCTAAAAAATAGCTAGCTTAGTTATTTTCACAGGGTAGGGAAATAATAATAAAAACATGTTAGTAGAAAACCATTGATTCCTTGTGCTCTGCAAGCAGATGGGATTAGCCTTTCTGTCAGCAGAGCTGAGGAGCCAACAACTATAAATAATATCTGAAGAATATGGTGATTAAAGGATTGTTTTTATATGAATACATTAACTTAAAACCATCCCCCCTATTTCAACCACACCACAACACTTTACCCACTCAGTTCCCTCCCCTTATCCATAGCAGGAAAGTTTAAATCAGTAATAAAATATTCATATGCAGCTATTTGCTTGAGAGAATAATTTATTTTCTTGGGAGGATGCCTCTTTTTGTGCAACTCTGGAATCCTTGAGGGATGGTTGTGTTGTGAGTTGGTGCACTTTGATCAGTGGGAATGAAAAGTTGGTTTCAGATGGGGATCAGAGTAAAGAGAGGAGAAGGATTCAGACAAGGGGACCTTGCCATTCACGTTAATAGATTGTGAATACTGAGAGCATGCCTTTTGGACACCATGTCATCATCCTGACACCGGGATCTTTGGGGCGGTGCCAGGAGGGAGGCATGCACCGCAGAAGGTGGAAAAGCAAAGCCATTTGAATAAATGTTTAACAGCCTTGCCTATTCAGGAAATAAAGAGCACTTGGTTTGTTCTGAGATGATGTAGTGTTTATCTTGTCATTAATATTACCTATTTAAAAACTAAACTGCTTCGGTGTACAGTATGTGCTTTATTCACCGCCCTATGTAACCCCATATATATATATATATACATAATTATATAACACTGGCAAGAAGCAGAAATAGTTTTTTTTAGATGAACTTTTTTCTACTTTAGGACTTGAAATCTTTACCTTCTCTCTAGACTCATTACCTACCAATAAAATCCAGCAAGTCCTGCAGTGGACAGTTGCTCACACACACAAGCAGCTGCGACACTATGTTAAACGGGTTATGAGGCTTGCCCAAGACTTGAAATAGCTCTTTTATCAGCAAGACACTGGAATTATAATTTCTCATAGTCTGAGGTACTTTCAAATCATATCTTTTATCTGTTTTATAACTTTGTCTTTCTCTTACAGCTCCCAAGTCGGTACTAGATCTCACTAAGTACTTTATCAGCCCTAGTAGGGAAGAGAATATGTTCACAAGTGTCTACTCTGAAGCAGAATGATGTTCTGTTTAAACTTCTGAAACAGGTTTAGACATCAGTATGCTCAGGACAATGCCATTAAGCTATGCTGTTTCCCTTTTGGTCTACAGCTCAGTAGTACTGCAAAGCCAAAAAAGGATGTATGTGAGCTTATACCCATACTATGTATATCATCATTTAATACATGTTTTCACTTCTGCATTCACATAATGTGCTTTTAAAACAAAGTGTCTTGTTAATTATATTTTATGAATATTGCTTCCTATGACATTAAATACATGTTGGATCTAGCATGTCAATTTGACCCAAATGATCTTGAATAAAATAAAGAACACTCACCTGAAACACAAATATTAGCAAAAGAAAAAGGTAACAATTTACTTTAAGCCACCGTTAACTAAAGCACATTAAAGCGGTTCATACTTTATAACACAATGTAAAGACATTTGAAGTGTTTATTAATAAACAGTGTTTTCCAGCAAATTGTAGTTCCTCAAAACATCATTAATCATTAGAGAGGAATTGTTCTGCTTGTAACTACTATAAACGATACATTGGGGGACTTTAATTGAATTGACCTACTGTATATTCATTACCTACCAGACTACTATGGCATTGAAGAAAACAAAATAAAATAAAAACCTCAAAAATGACAAAAAAAGAGGTTACCTCTGTGATACCTAAAAAAGAAAACTCTTTCGAGCCACAGTGGCATTATGACCTACTCAAATATGACATATAGAAGGAAATCACTCAGAGTCAGCAACATGCACATTCTTTCAAAGAAAAGTCCAAGGACTTAAAATACAATTGAAAAGGATGTCAGGGCCAACAAAGGAATATAAAAACCAAAATAGGTGGCCAGAAAATATGCTGCACACAAGAAAACCTTATGGCAGTTTGATATGAGGAAAGCAGAGTCATCTCCAGAACTGAAAATAGAAGCATATTGGCTCAAAGGCACAACTCTAAGTGGAATATGAGATGACTGTAAGGCAATGTTTCCATCCTTGTTGTTCACTCCCAGATTACAGCTGTATAATGTCCTCTGTGTCTCTGGAGCAGATCTGTCATAACACAGGCCTGCAAGGGCTGGCCACAGTGACACACTATGAAGACAACGCGTTTTCCGTCTTAAAAAGGATCTTTCACTTTCGGTTGTGGTCTAAAACTATGGTCAATATTAAGGATAAACATATAGAGTTTTCTGAGATGAGTGTGTGTCTTCACCTCAACTACATATCAAAAACAGCTGTCTGGAGTTACTGGCTATGGCTAAATAATAGCCAACATAATAACACAAAAGCATACATTTTTATATAAATATGCCCAACCAGACCCCCAGTAGAAAAAAAGAGGCTGAATGTAATCCGTATCTCCCCAGGCTCATTTGTTTTAAATGTATACTGTTCCTATGCTGCCTGGTGCATACAGTTTGATATGTGGTTGTAATGAGCGACATGATGTGATACAGATCGGTCAGGTTCAGTTTTTAAGCTGCTAAGTGATACCAAATAAGAGGTAATCAGCCCATGCATCGGCATGTTTTGTAGAAATGTTCTCAATCATATGAATCATGTCATGCTACAATTATATTATAAAGAGTTCAACATCTAGAGACATTTTTCTTCAGCTGTCAGTTTTGTATTCTCGTAAATTAGTAATTTGTATGCATGCAATCCTGCTGAGAATATGAGTTCCATCCATAAGAGTAACACTGTAATGTTTTCTCCATCGGTTAAGACCTACTGAAAGTCTGATGCGTGCATATTTAACACACACATTCTGTTCACTGACATCCAATATGTGTGAGCAAGTGAAAGTGTATGCAACATAATGTGCATGTGTGGGTGGTGGCTTCTGTCAGTTTGAATGTGTCTACTTTAAAGGAACCGACAAAGTCTAATCTTGACGGTTCCATAAAGTGTATGTCCATATGCACAAACCATAAAGCATATACTCACCAAGAAGAGCAGGCGGAAGTTGGCGAGCTGTCCGAAGAAATCCTCCACACTGACTGAGTGGGGGTCAAAGGCCAAAAAACTGCCTATATTCTCGTAGAGCTTTTGCATGTTCTTGTGCATCGTTGACAGTTTTTCATACTGCTCCCTTGAATGCTTGGAGAAGCCGTGAGAAAACAGGGTTAAGGAAAAATGGAGTACAACATCAGACACAGACTGAGTATATTCAAAGGCACTGTAATCATCAATGTAATGACACCTCAGCAATATGTTCATCCATGACCAAAGAGGCCATTGTGAGAAATGATCACTTCAGAGGCTTTCGAGCATTCAAAAGCCCACCTATGTCAAGGTCAAACAAACAAAACACTGGATAAAGAAGGGTCAGAGACAATTTGATGTGCCATTACAATAACCTCTCCAACTCACTTTGGAGTCAATGGCATGGTGAGCTAATAGCTGCAGCCCTGGAGTAATGGAAAGGTGTTTTGTAGTCAGCAGCATGACACAGATGGTTGCTGGAAAAGCTGATTGCAGTCATTGTTCTATTGTTTCTCCCAACAACAGTGGGGTCAGGTTGTTTTGAACCTCACAGCTCACGTCGCACTGTGTAATTTACTGAACAGGCGAGCACTTTTCTCCCGGTGAATGGCTATTGACAGCCGACATCAGTTAAGCATTATCACAGCAGCCACTGACCTCATGGAGACTGCACTTGGACACTCTAAGACTCACACACCTTGTGTGGCCTGCACACTACACAACTTTACAGAACATACACACACATATATATATACTGTATATAAACTAACATATACACATGCCTGCACATGCTCACAAAGGCAGACAAAAAAAAAGAACTACCATTATTTTAAACTGTGTGTGTTTTAAATAATATTAATGGTTCTTCTTAAGTGTTTTTAGCTATTACATTTATATTTTCTATCATAGCTCAAATCTTATGACTATGATTTTTTAAATGTGTTTTTTTGTTTTATTTGTATAGGGCTAGGCATCTGTTCCATTGGTCACCAAACATGGTACTTAAAGGTAAGTGCTGAGATCTCACAAGGTGGCAACACTCCCTAAATAGGCCTAACAGACCAACATGAATGAGCAGTCAGGTGATCAGAAAGATGAAAAATCATGTTGTGCCAGATTAGCTACTCTATTAGCTATTCCTTGTTGAACAGAAAAATGGTGAGCGTGCACCACTTTGTCAAAGTTGACATTCAAGTTACCTTTAATAATCCTATGAGATCATTTACAACCTTTCTGATAAAATAGCCGATCATTGCCCTGATGGACCTTTGGTTTTAGAGAGAACACTTCTATGTTTCCTGATGTAACAAGCTAATAAATGTAATATTCTCAATAAAACCAAAACGTAATAGTTCAGCTTATGAGTCGATATCATCGTTTTTTAGACAGTTTGGGCACCATTTCATTTCACAGTAAAATGTCCATAAATCCTGAATATCCTATAATACTTGATATCTGTGTTCAGTGTAAGTGTTGAGAAACAAGGCTTTTAATACAGACATAAACATTGATTTTTGAAGGGTCCGTGTAGCATGATTCAATTGTGCTTCTGAATGTGTTGCTAACATATTAAGGCAGCTGCACAGGTACAAATAGACACAATAAGTGGCATATGCAGTCGCCTTGGCAACATACAAAAGCTGGTGGTACAACATGACGCCTGTGATTGTGTGTCAAGGTTAAACAGTTATAAGATATTGTTATTTGTTAACAATATGCAATGATGATGTGAAGGTCCCAGATTTTTCTACAATGCCATTTATTCATAATTTGTCTGTCTGTCCTGTCGTCTTTGCATATGTCCATGTTCAGAGATGTTTCTTTAGGCACATGTGTAACTCACATCTTCCCCACATGAATACAGTCATATGTGCCTGTACAAATGTGATGTATTTGTGCTCTTAGTGTATGAATGCGCACATGTAAGTGTGTATGGATGGATAGGCTTTGAGTAGCTGACAGAGAAAAAAGCCCTGACAGGGTCGGCTGGTTGGAATAACTCCCTGTGTGCTAGTGTTTACCAAAGTCCAGGTTAGCACCGAGCCCACACACCGGCCCGATGGATGGACTCATCCTTCTGTCTCTCCTCTTCCCTGTCTCTATCTCCTTGTCTGCCTGGACCTGATGTATCCCCCCTGTTTCTGTCAGCTTGCCTTTATCTCTCCTTTTGTCCACCTCCCCCTCACTGCACTTATGTGTGAAAACCCACAGGCCCTACATTTGGATGTAAAATTAAACTTTGCCAAAGAAAGATATCTTTTCAACATCCAAACTTCTGACAGAGTTGTACTGTATTGAAGTTTTTTAGTTTGGTAAAGTCTTGAAAAGGCCCCTTGGAGAGGAATACATCCATTTCTAGGGACCAATCTGCCACAAACCAAACCATGTGATGATGACCCAAATCTTATGTTTTGGTATAGTCATGCTCTGACCTGGAATGTTATTTTCTATAACTGTTACATGTTTTTGTATCTGAAATTCCCCATGACGTACTGCTACTGCTCTGCCCGTAGACTTTTAAGTTAATTAGTCAATCTCTGTAAAGCTTTTCCTGGTTAAATAAAACACAATATATACTGTATATATTTGTGTGTCAATTATGTGTGAAACTAAACTTCAGTGATTCATCTAATAAAACAACCACAGCCAGTTCCAAGTACTAGACTATGCTTCACTTAACATGCCCCTTCTTAATTCCTAGTCGCTGTGAATGGAAGATTTCCTCTAAAGGAAAATAAAATGAGAAAGCACAAATATGTATAATGTTAATGAAAACAAAGATCAGCAACAGGTTCATGGCAGAAAGCGATCCAACCATTAATGTGTCAAATTAGCAGTAACAGAGATGTTGATATTGTATGGTGATTTAGATACAATATTGATTCCTCTCAGCAGCAGAGTCCACACTGCCTTTAGTTTGTATGGTCGGGTCACAACTGCTGCCTCCCTTGTAGGATTTAATGTAGGATAAACATTAGTAAAATATAGAGGCAGTGGTTATTTGTTGGTGCTTGTTGTGGCTTGTTTATTTTTCTCTGCTCTCCCCCGCTTAGTCTCTTTCACACACACACACACGCTGAAATACACATGTGTGCACGTGCACAGTGGTAGATGTGTCCCGCTGGGGACTGGACTGACTGGGCTTTTGCTCCTGGTATTTCCACATCAAAGACATGTCATATTGATGGATTGACACACACACTATCCTGCAGCAACACAACCGGAGCTGGAGCCATCATCAAACACACATACTGACACAGGATGAACAGGCAACACACACCCACACACACACACACACACACACACACACACACACACACACACAGACAAGAGCACACATTGTAGTTTAAAAAAATGCACACAGTCACACACCCAATTATGTAATGTCCCTCTGTCAGCTTGTCTGTTACTCTTTCCTTTCCCTTAGTTTCTAATAGCCTTCTCTCCTTCTCCAAAGATACATCTTTGTTCTATGTGTTTCTCCTTTCTTCCTGTCCACCACTCTTTTGAACACATTCCCTTTATAATTCTTTCTACACCTCCCCTTGAAATTCCCTCCATACCATTCTCTCTCTGAAACAAAAACTTATTTTCTTTCTCTTCTACTCAAGAGTGAACTTTCAGAGGCATGCTGTCTGCGGTGTCTCTGGTATTCACTTGGGCTTGAGGCAGAGCAGGGAGCAGAGGCGATGGGTCTCCAGGTAAAGCATCATGCAGCCTTTAGTTGCCCCGACCCTGTTTGTCAGTCTGCGCTCTCCCCTTCTAGCTGTCCTCAGAGAAGCGCTGCTGCCTGCCCTCCTTGTGCACTGCACCTCAACAACCTGAAGCAAGACGATTGCTTGGGGGCTCCATTTTTTAAATATGGATACAACTAAAGATGTATGTGGATTCCTAACTGGTTTATTATGATATTGATTAGATTTGAACATTTTAAATAGTATCTCTAAGCCTCATCCTTCTTAACTGTTTGTAAGCCTATGAATGACTGTTTGAAGACTATTTCAATAACTGAAGCTGGCACAGCTGGAGGATAAACAATTATAGTTCAAAAGGGGCTGATGGAATAACAGCAAGTCACTAAACATAACACACTCAGGGTAGACTTACACAACTCCAGTTTCTGACAGCGTCTTATCTGACAGTGTTGATTTACAAAGACAATGTCAGATGTAAAATGTGATGGCAGTGCTCTGCTTGTTCATGTTTTTATAATTCTCCCTCTCTCAACTCTTCTGTTTCTCCTGTCTCCTATAAAACCCCAGCCTGTCCTTGTACAAATCTAGACTTAGTTATTTGTCCTGCCACAGTGTCCTCATTACTGTCTTTAATCAGTCACTTTTTATCTGTGTGTTTGACATGCCAGAGAGGGTACATTTAACATCAGTAAGCTGCGATTAAGGGCACTCATTTTTAACACCACAAAGTGACATCAAAATCATATCCAAGTCAGACTTACCCCAGATGTAAAAAAAAAAAAAAAAAAGGTTTTTGGAGCCGGGATCTATTACATTTTGTAATAAAAGCTAACGGAGAAGAGGAAAAACTTGAGGTATGTGCCAAAACAAAGTTAAAACAGTTTTCACAATGGCCATCTATGAGGATGGCAATAAATTACCTGGTTTGTTTACCTGTGTGCATGAGAGAGTTATTAAAGTGCTGCATAAAACCTTGCAGTGGGGGCCCAAAAAGCTTCCTCAATAAATCTCCTGTAACCTAGTTACATTAATGTTTATTTAATGCTGTTCCTATGTGCTTCCTGGCCCCTCCATCCAAGGCCCCACACTAAGCCTGCTTTCCTCCAAGCCCCACCATCGCTGCTCCCTTTATCCCCACACCTACTGCCAACAGCCCCTGTGGGCCAAATTACACTAAAGCTGCCCGCTGACTGGACACAACCCATCATGTTGAGAGTGAGAGTGGGATGAGAGAGGGATGAAGGAATGGAGTGCAGAGGTAGAAAAAGAGAGCATACAGACTACTCAAATCCGTCTATAATTCTGATCTGTTTTTGCACTGTAATACATACAGTATGCAATTCTTTGTTTGATCAAAAAAGGGAAAGTTTCATAATACTCTGTTGATATTTGTACAGGTTCCCCCGTGTTAGCCAAGAACATTTTAGAATG